AAAGAAAGTTGTAATATTCTACACATATATCCAATATCAACTCTGGTAGAGTTAGGGCATCACCACAGGCTTAAATATCACTCCAGGTGCTGGTCACATACTACTTAGTCTTATATTTATGTATGAAGTTATATATTGCATTTTACATAGGGCAGACACGTGCACACAAAGAGAAGAGGAAAAGACTGGGGAAAAGTAGCCTTGATGCCCATAATAACGACAATATGGATTGGATTCAAGACAAATGCGATCTTATGGGCTGTGTCAAGAAACACGGCAAGTTAAATGAGGACTTTTAGACATGAATAACATCAAATAATAAAACCTTTTCAATGTCCTATCAAGAACTCAAGTGTCCTTTTTGGAGGTACAGCTGCTCTGAAATCAACTAGTGCTTCATAACAAGTGCACATTTTTTGGCAGCATGTGTGAAATAATTGTTACTTTAAAAATATTTAAACTTGTTTTTAAGTGACATTAGCAAAGTTACAAGTCACACTGAAATTCCACGTGGCTTAATGTAAGCCAGAAGCCATCAGTGGACACAGGGTGTTATTTTTTTCAAAGCTTTGAGAATTTTTTTTCATTGAACGTATAGTCTTGCGTGATGATATGAAACAATATGCAGTGTCTGGTACATCTATATTATATATGAAAGAGAAAAGAAAATCTGATAGCTCAGGAAATATCCTCTTATGCTAGAAATGAAAAAGGAATTTACTGCAGCCAGAATTAATCTGAAAATACCAACCTGAACCATTGATTCCTCTGTTACCAAAATAATTTTAGCACTTTCTTGTTTCACTCTACCCACTACCAGAATTCGTGAAAGGTGTTGTAAACACGCACCCCAGAACTTCCATGCTTTAATTCTTCACTCCATTGCTCTTCAGATCATAGTTCACACCTCTGCAGCGTCAGCGTCCTGTGGGAGCTTGTTAGACATGGCAGTCCTTGGGCCCCAACTCAGAACGATGGAATTGGAATTTGTGGTGGTAGAGTCCAGGAATCTCTGCTTTAACAGGCTCACCCGCAATCCTTAGGCATGCTAAAGTCTGAGAAGCTTTCCTTTCATTCTGCATTTGGGAGGGCAGGAGGTCCATGAAGCACAGTCAGGGCTGAATCTGCAGTGGCGTTTGGAGGACAGCAATGACATTTTTAGAGATTATGCACTATAATTTCGTTATATGTACAAAGGAGGCCAGCATGAAGCTTGCTCTCATTACTGATTGTCTATGAGGGCTAAAAAATATCAACCCCACAGTGCTGACGGGGGGAAATCCCCAACAAGTCTTGAAATCCTACAGGGTCCCATCATCAGGTTTGTTTTTGTAACATTTCATACCATGGGCAGTAAAAATTTCCTCTTATTTACGTGACAACTAGTTTGGATTCTGTGATGTAATAGACCATAAAGACGAAAGGAAAATCCTGTATTGTTGGCATAAGAATGTGGTGCAGTAATATAGCTAGTTCTTTAGATACTGGGGTGCATGAAAGCCTGAGATTATGGGCCCAAAATATATGAGTTTCCAAAATTCTCCTCAATTAAAGAATAACCAACATGTATATTTTTGTATTATGTATGCCCCCAACTTGCAGAAATAAGAAGTGAATAATAAAAGTAATCTAGCATTTGCTGATTAAAAGTTATTTATGAAGGAGAGCATTGTTTATAAGGTCAACTTATTTACAGTGAAACTCTGGTCAGCTAACATTTACCCAGTACATCCAACATGCCATCATTTGTCTTAGGGCTTGGAGACGTAAAAGTTTTGAGATCTATTCAAACGGAAAATCAAATAAATGAGATGAATCAAAATGAGGCTCTAATTTAAATAAAAGTTGGATGTCACTGTGAGAAAAATGTTGCTCTACTGAAAAGTTTCCCAAGGGCACCTTTTATGTCCTTGTTCCTAAGGCTGTAGATAAAGGGATTCAGCATGGGTGTGACCACTGTGTACATGAGAGCTACAATGATGTCCTTGTCAACGAAATTGCTTAGTGTTGGGAAAAGGTATTGCCCAAATATTGACCCATAATACAGAGAAACTACAGAGAGATGGGAGCCACATGTGGACAATGCTTTGCACATCCCCTTGGTTGAAGGGACCCTCAGGATGGTAGCCCCAATGTAACCATAAGACACCAGGATACATATGAATGGCAGAGTAATGACCACCACCCCTACTGTGAACATGACCAATTCATTGAGAAAGATGTCTGAGCAGGACAACTTGAGCAGAGCACCAAGGTCACAGAAGAAATGGGGAATGGTGTTAGCACAGAAAGATAACTGGGTCAGGAGGAGGGTGTGGGAAAGGGAGCTGGCACCAGACAGGATCCAGGAAACAGCCACTAGGAAGGCACACAGCTCCTCCCTCATGATGGTGGTGTAGTGAAGAGGGTGACAGACAGCAACATAGCGGTCATATGCCATTGATGTAATAAGAAAGCTGTCCAGGTCAGTAAAAAATATGAAAAAATACATCTGGGAAATGCACCCTGCATAGGGGATGAGTTGGTACTCAGTGTACATGTCCATCAGCATCTTAGGGACAGTGACAGATGAAAAAGAGACGTCGGTGAGGGCCAAGTGGCTGAGGAAGAAGTACATGGGGGTGTGGAGGCGAGAGTCCAGCCTGATAAGCAGGATGATGAGCAGGTTCCCCAGCACCGTGGTCAGGTACACGCCCAGGAACAGGGCGAAGACCACGCCCCGCTGCTCTGGCCGGATGGGGAGCCCCAGGAGGAGGAACTGGGACACGCTGCTTTGGTTCTCCCTCCTCATGCTCCTCTCCTGTCTGCTGGGGGTGAAGAATGGTTGAGAATATTAAGATCTCTGAAATAATCATTTTTAGCAGTCAGATGAAAAAATATGTGTGCTTTAATTTATTATGGAAGGTGGGAAATGCAACATATTTCTCTGTCCCTTATATGTTGACACATGAAACAATTAGAAAAATTACCAGAGGATGTTAAAAAGAGCCACCTTTTCTTGGTTCACTGACAAAATAGAATTCTTGCATCTGCAGTAATGAGGACTGGACCGCGGAAAATGACGTCTCAGTCATGTTATTGCCCCAAGAATGCTTTGTGGGGACTATTCTAAATCATCAACCATTGCATAGTGACATTTAGAAGATGTGATTTCCACAACTATTGTTAAATTTCAGATGGGAGGCAGATTTCTCAAATAAAATGATGCAAAGAATAGTATTTGTTAAAAACACTCCTCAGTATATATACATTTTGTTTATTTCAGTTCAGAGATGGTCCTTAAGAAACTCTGGATTACATTAATCCATCTCCCTACTGCAGCAAAAGAGCAATTAAAAAAAATCTGTATTCCTTTTTTTAAAACCTAAATGACTCCTCATGTTTAAAAAATCTCAAAAGAATCCCATTGATCTTAAGATGAGGTATAACTACCTTAATATGGCTTAAAGATGGTGAAAAAATCTGTGTCTCTCCTACATTTCCAATCTCTTCTTCCTTACCTCCACCATCCTCACCCTTGCTGACTTCTCTGTTCCAACTTTCCTGGAAAGACACATTTCCATTTAATGTCATTAAAACTCCTTTCCTTTGGTGGTTGTGGGTTCCCTGGAATCCCATGTCATGTTGAGAAAGCAATCTGACTTCCAGCAAATATTTTTTACAAATTTATTTATGGTTTATTTTCTACTGTCAAGACCCAGAAGGTTAAGTGATGATGCAACAACATCTTAAAACTACATTTATAAAGTATATCATTTTTAATACATTTCCTCTCCTCCCTATGCAACATAACAACACCCCATTACAAAATAAGGACTATTATCAAAAGATGCCAGAAGTGAGATTTTAGCTGGATCTCAAGTTTTCATCTCCATCTTAGGTGGTCCTTCCATTTAACACAACACCTGCTAGTTAATTATGGTAAGCAGAAATAATAACTCCCAAAGGTGTCCATGTCCTAATGCCCAGAACCTGTGGATATCGTACAGTTCATGGCAAGGGGGAATTAAGGTTTGGGTGGAATTAAGGTTGCTAATCAGCTGACTTTAATATGAGATTATCCTGGATTATCTGGATGGGCTTGATGCAATCACGGATGTCCTTAAATGTAGAAGAGGGAAGCAGAAGAGTCCGTTACAGAGATTTTATGATATGATGCTATTAGCATAGAAGGTGGAGGAAGGGGCCACAATCAAAGAATGGATGTGGTCTCTAGAAGATGGAAAAGTCAAGAAAACAGATTCCCCCACTGAGCCTTCAGAAGAAATGCCAACATTTCAGACTTCTGATCTCCAGAACTATAAGATAACAAGTTTGTGGGTTTTTAAGCCACCAAGTTTGTAGCAATTTCTTAGGGCAGCAGTAGGAAACTGATAAACCAATGATGGAAAAAGTTCAGGTATATTCAAATACTCTGGTTATCTGGGCACCAGTATGCAACAAAATCCCTGTGTCTTGCCTCAGTTTCCACCTTGTATACAACAAAACAAAGCAATAGCTTCACAGAGCTCTTTCCTCCCTAACATATAGGGAAGTGAGGTTACTATCTCATTAGAAGCATTTTCCACGGACCACAAATGCGACTCAGAAATACCCCCTCTCCTACATTCATCAACTGGACTATGCCAGGACCTACAGCAAGTGGAAATTCCTCCTGAAACTATGTCTCTACTCCCCACCCTCTCATTTTCTCTGTCTTTTTCACTGTCTTTTCTCCTCCATGCCAAAGTCAGCCTTGTACCTCACTGCATTTATGATCCCGTGTTTGGTGGATAAATGTGTTCTGAGATTCTCTTTAGGAGATCCGAATATCAGCTTCCAAGGTCCTCGGCATTTCTTGAGCATCAAAAAGAAAAGCTACAAGCCCAGACTGTCACTTCTATCTACCAGCCCCAGATCTATGAACTGAGAAGTGTAACTAGCCAAGGAAGGAGCCCTGGGGGGCAGATAGCAGAACTTGTAATTTCTAGTTTAAAATATCCATCAGACTTGGATTAATTGCCCAGTTTTCCCCTTGATTCCTCTACGACAGATGTCCCATGGGAGGGATGTTTGTGCTGGGAACCTTAGAGAATGAGCCCATAGAGGAAGGATCTCAGGCATCCTCAGTCTCCCTTCTGCTCCAGGCTATGTTTCCCAGCCTTAATCACACTTTGGCACAGGATAAACTCCAGCGAATTAAAAAAAAAAATTACTGGCTCCCACAAGGTCCAAATAGCCAAATGACTGTATGGCCTCCCGAGAATTTAGGTGGAACTTTATCCCATTCAAAAAGCTCTTACTGGGCCATACCCACCAGGCAACCCAAAGGAAGTAACTTTGTATTTCTTCTCTCGGGTGATCGTTATGAAATGCAAAGTGGCAAGAGGCAGGGATAATCACTTTTTTCTCTGAAGGTTTTACTGCTTTTTTGGACAAACTTAAGTTTGGTTACATCAAATAAAAATAGTTTTCAAGGAAGGGAGAAAAGAAGGGAAGAAAGAAGAAAAGAAGTAAGGATGGACAGACGGAAGGAAGGAAGGAACGAAGGAAGGAAGGAAGGAAGGAAAGTAGATCAAAAACAATCCACAAACTTGCAAATAGGGAAAAAAATGTTGTTATACAATCCAGAAAAGTTGACTCAAAATTTAAAAACTTCAGGTTCTTTGAAATGGAACTTTTTTAACATTTTTTATTGATTTATAATCATTTTACAATGTTGTGTCAAATTCCAGTGTTCAGCACAATTTTTCAGTCATTCATGGACATATACACACTCATTGTCACATATTTTTCTCTGTGAGTTATCATAACATTTTGTGTATATTTCTCTGTGCTATGCAGTGTAATCTTGTTTATCTATTCTACAATTTTGAAATGGAACTTTTGAAGAAAATGACCATTTATTGTGGCATTAGCGATTCTTAGGAGTGAGATGTAGAGGACAAACAAAGAAGTATTGATAGCTTAAGATAATCTTTGAGGGTTTATTTTGGCCTTTTCAATATCTGGGTGTAAGAGATGGTAGATACAGCAAAGCTTGGTCTGGGCAGCTTCTTTCTGGCTGTGATGATCCTGTATCACTGTCACAATTTCATGTACCCGCCCCCCAGCAGGACCAGGGACACTCTCAACTCAGAATTGTTGAAGTTCAGCAACATTCTAGATAAAAGCCAGAGAGGGAAGTTCCCAGAATATTAGCCGGTAGCAATTTAACAAAATCAAAGTGGACCAGAACCTAGGTTGGCTATAGGCATTGAATTCCTGGGAAGGACACACCAGACACGTGGGGCACTGGAGAGGGAAACTCTGTGGTGGGGCCAGTAGGTTGGTCAAACACACAGAAGGACTTGGATAGGGAGCTCTGGTACTGGATACAGGAAGCCGTGTAACCAAAGTACAGACCAGAGTAGACTGTAGGTAGATCAAGTTATGTGTGGTGGGTTTGGACAGATTGAAATACAATGAGTCAGGATGGGGACACCTTGGATTAATGTCTGACGTACTGTGGACAGAAGAAAGACCTGTGGCAGGAGCATGAAATAGGTCACAGAGGAGCTTGCAAAGGGATAGATGAAGGCAGGATTCTAACTAGGAAGCCAAGGACAAGTTATTGCACCTCTCACAGCTCTCTGCAGGCCTCTTCAGATTTTGGAGACAGCACATACCACACCTGGAATACTGCTCTGACCAATTTGTCAAATGACTTGATGGACAGCCAATTTTAAGTAGGATCTAGACCAAGGGAAGGTTCTGCAGCTGGTTCAGGCTGTGGTACAAGTGACTCTGCTAATCGGGTCACCTGGATTAGCAGAACCTAGGGTGCTGGAGGCATCCATGACAGATGATGGCTCCACATCGTGCCTCTGGAAAACTGCATTAGAAGAGTTGCCACTCAATATTTCTGGATCCAGGAGCAGCTGGCAAGCTACTGGGCCTTAGTAGGGACCTAGCACCTAACCATGGGACATCAAGTGACTGGAGCTGAGTATTTTCAGGCACAAAAATCTGTAAGGTCAGTAGACACAACAGTAAATTTGGCATAAGCCTTATTAGATCTGGTGAGCGAAAGTGAATTTCAGAAACCTCATGTCATCTAAATATGTTCCACTGATGTCGCCCCCTCAGCTCAAGTCGATGGCCACCAGTTTGAAGACTCTGTAGCAAGACTTCAGTGGATGTGAACAACGCAGGAGGCAAATGCTGCAGGCTGTCACTCCCCGACTCAGAGCTGTTTAACTCACCATTTCAGTACATTCTGGCTAGAACTATAAATATTGTATTTATTCGAGGACTTTCCTTGGACACTGGAACACAATTGCTTATACACACAACAGACCAGAAGTGCCAGAAAAACCAACACTCTCCACCCTCCACCATCCCCAGCAGTCCTCAGTTAAATACAGACAGGAGATGGTTCCCCACCCATCCAGCAAGGGTTCAATGTTGGCTCAGGCCCCTATCCACCTTCTGCACTTTCTTACTTTCCATTTACTCCTCTATCCAGTGTAATCTAGATTCTGTTCCCACCACTCACTGATGTTGCTCCTGGTTACATCAACAAACTCCTCCTTAGTACTAAATTCAGTGGGTGGCTTTCGTTACTTAGCTCCCATGGTCCCACATTTTTTATTTTCCTTCTATGTCTCTAGTTGTCCTTTGATGCCTTTGGGGGACACTCTTTCTCTGTCATTTGCTTGACTGTCAGTGTCCCCCATGGTCTCAGCCCCGTTTTCCTACCTTCATCTCTGAACTTTCCTTCCTCTGTCGTCTCCCTCCCTCTTTCTCTCCTCTCCATTCTTGTCATGTTGTTTATCTTATCCCTTTTTAGACAGTCT